GGAGAACTATGACATGAGTGATTTCCACTCACCTCATAGTTCTAAGCCGACCTGTGACAATGAGACTGTCACAGGTCAGCTCAGTAGATCGGGAGGTGAGAGAACACATACCGGGTTCCCTCACCTCTCGATCCTGTCACGGCTCTCTGCCGTGACAGGGGGGAGGGGCTGGATTCCCCTCTCCCCCCTCCGATCTGCCAGCGCTGACTGGCGGAACGGACGAGGGAGGGGGCGGGTACAGCTGGCTCTGCCTCTAGATAGGCAGAGCGAGCTGTCACTCACGCAGCTGGGCGGATCCCGTCATCTAAGGTAGCTCGCGGTATACTGAGCTTAGGGTAACGGGAGGACGCTAGTATGTATCCTCCCGTTACCCCAAGGAGAACTATGGGGAAAAACACTGACCCCATAGTTCTCCTTTAAGTGTCTCAAAGTGCCAACCCTGCACTTCGACCCAAATACTGATGATTTCTTTTACAAAACACATTTCATACCACTGTTTGAACTAATTATGTGCTCTTAGGTGGGCTCTGCAGTTGTCTGTATGGGCTCTTGGGGGCTGTGCAGCTTCAAGGTGGTCCATAAATGGTCTTAGGTGGGCCCGGCAGTTGTCTGTATTGGCTCTTGGGGGCTGTGAAGCTTCAAAGTGGTCCATAAGTGCACTTAGGTGGGCCCTGCAGTTGTCTGTATGGGCACTTGGGGGCTGTGCAGCTTACAGGTGGTATCATACGTGCTCTTAGGTGGGCCCTGCAGTTGTCTGTATGGGCACTTGGGGGCTGTGCAGCTTACAGGTGGTCCATATGTGCTCTAGCCTCAGGTGGGCTAGGTGGGCCCTGCAGTTGTGTATGGGCTGGAGGGGGGATGGGCTGTGCAGCATCCAGGTCATCTAAAAGTGGTGGTCCTTAAGTGGTCTCTAAGGAGGGCTATGTGGCTCCTAAGGGCAGATCCAGCCTTCTAATTAGACTGCCGCTCGCTGCTGGCTTGGGCCCTGAGGGGCCCCAGTGATCGGCCGTCTAATATGCTCTCCTATGTCTGAGGCAATGGCGCCATAGCTAGAGCGTGTGCGCCTCACATACCTTGTTAGTCGTTGACGTCACTGCGCCTGCGCGGCTCCTCGTCCTCAGTGCGCTTGCATGGCAGCAGATGACGGCGTCTCCGAAGCTCTTTTCTGCACCTGTGTGCCCGTCAGTGAACTTGGAAGTTCACTGACGGGCACTGAAAGCAATTACATTACTTTAAGTGTGGCTATGATGCTCTAGTCCAATGGTGGCGGACCTGGGCTCGCGTGCCAGCAGAAACGGCCACGCGTGCCCGCTCTGGCACGCGTGCCATAGGTTCGCCACCACTGGACTAGAGCATCATAGCCACACTTAAAGTAATGCAATTGCTTTCAGGCAGGATATTACTTCATACTGTACCCCCAATGATCCGTAAATAATATATGGAGCAGCAACTAATGAAACAAAGCTATAGTAACTATAACTGGAAATCAACAACACAGTCAGTATGGAGTAAGTAATTCAGCTGGTAATTGAGGTACACATCATATGCAGTTGCAGATTTAGTCCAAGTATATATTTGCATATGCAACACAGAAGGGAGCCAGTTTGCCCCAAGAATGGTCACAGAATGGTCGCAGGTGAAGAATCCGGGTCCAGTAGAGTGCTGAGAGAGAGCGTTCCGGCAAAGGTTCCAGGAGATGACAGGCGTTCTGACCTCAATAGTGGAACGCCATGTTATCTCAGCTGGGGCTTTAAATAGGGCCAGAAAGTGGGAGGAGCGCTGGTCGGCTCGGAGCAACTTCCGCGTTCCAGCGTGGAACGCAGCCTGCGCTATCAGAGGCCAGAAGACGAGTGTCTTCCGCGTTCCAGCGTGGTATGCAAAGCGGCCGTCCCGGGGAGAGCGGTGGAGCTGTAACGGAACCGCGACCCCTATGTGGAGTACGACGGTTGCCGTTACAGAACACCCTCCCCAAGGGAACACCCCCGGGGGTTCCCAGCTGGGGATGGCCGGTCAGGGTACCTGTGGTGAAATACCCTCGTCAGGCGAGGTGCATGCACATCGGTGGAGTCCTCCCAGGAATCTTCTAGGTGTCTCCATCTCGGGACCCTGTATGCATAAATCGGGGAGATAGGATAACACGTATCGTTGCAATAGAGGGAATGTAGGTGTAGCTTCCGCTCTGACCATAATATGGAGGGTTGGTGAAGTGTAACCCAAGGGAGGCCTAGCACGATAGGAAATAAAGGAGATGGAATAATATCGAATACAAGGTATTCGGTATGCCCCTCTCCACAGGTAACCAGCAGAGGTTGAATTTGAGTGATAACAGGACCCGATGGGGAGGTGGCGCCATCAATAAAGGTTACAGACAAGGGTTTATGCTTCATAACGCGTGGTATTTTATTTGTTGAGACAATCTGTGAATCGATGAAATTGCCAAAAGCGCCGGTGTCCACCATGGCGTTAACGGTGATCCTCTCTTGATCCCACTGTAGGGTGAGAGAGACATGAACGAGCTTTTTGACGATAGGGCATGTGGCGACAGTGTGATCGGGGGATAAGCAGTAGAGACATAAGTGGAGGGCTCTTCTCCTGTCCTTCTCAGCCTGGGAAAGAGGTCCACGAATCGCCCCGACTTCCATTGGCTCGTCCTTAGGAGACCTGGCTCTCCTAGGGGAGACTTTCTTTCGTGGAGACGGCGGTCGATGGATACGGATAGGTGGATTAAATCGCCTAAGGAGGCAGGAAGTTCAGCGCGGGCAATCTCATCCTACATAGCATCAGGAAGGCCGAGGCGGAACTGGTTCCGCAGACTGATATTGTTCCATTCGGTCTCTCTGGCCCAGCGCTTGAACTCTGCGATATAATCCTCAACGGGTCTTCTACCCTGCTTGAGGGCCCTTATGTCGTTTTCAGCAGTCAGTTGCTTGCTGGAGTCCTCATAGAGGAGTGACATCGCATCTAGGAAGCAGGGGAGGGACTCTAACAGCTCATCGTCCTCCTCGAGGTATGTCTCCGCCCAGGCTCTAGGTTCACCCTTGAGATACGAGATTAAGGTAAGTACCTTAAGCCGGTCAGAGTGGTAAGTGCGTAGCCGTTAGATCGAACATGAGTTTGCATGACTTGACAAACTGGCGATAAGACTTTCTATCTCCTGAGAAAGGTTCAGGTGGGCAGACTTTGGGCTCCGGACGATCTCTGGGAGCAGCAGGGGCTGCCTTTTGGTTAACCAGGGCATGAAGTGCCTGGTTTTCAACTTGTAGCTCCTGCATGGAGTTGGTTAGGGTCTCAACCCTTTGGGATAGAGTAATCAGATGCTTAGCGAGCTCCGCTGGATTCATCTTTGTTTGAAAGGTTCCACTATTCTGTAACGCCTACTTAGGTACCGTGGGCGTGGATCACAACTGCGGAGGCTTCTCAGGCAAGAGTCCCTGGCGCCACTCTCAATCTTAGCAGAGAGTTAGGGACTAGAGCATCATAGCCACACTTAAAGTAATGTAATTGCTTTCAGGCAGGGTATTACTTCATACCGTACCCCCAATTATCCATAAATAATATATGAGCAGCAACTAATGAAACAAAGCTATAGTAACTATAACTGGAAATCAACAACACAGGCAGTATGGAGTAAGTAATTCAGCTGGTAATTGAGGTACACATCATATGCAGTTGCAGATTTAGTCCAAGTATATATTTGCATATGCAACACAGAAGGGAGCCAGTTTGCCCCAAGGTACTTGCGGTTTTATGATCAAGCAGGAGTATAGTTAGGTTGCAGAATGGTCGCAGGTGAAGAATCCGGGTCCAGTATAGTGCTGAGAGAGAGTGTTCTGGCAAAGGTTCCAGGAGATAACAGGCGTTCTGACCTCAATAGTGTAAAAAAAAAAAAATAAGACACTGTCTTATTTTCGGGGAAACACGGTATCAGAGGCCGGAAGATGAGTGTCTTCAGCGTTCCAGCGTGGAACGCAAAGCGGAAGTCCTGGGGAGCGGTGGAGCTGTAACGGAACCGCGACCCCTATGCGGAGGACGACGGTTGCCGTTACACACATGTAGGGAGAGCAGTGCTTCCCAAAGTCAGGGGAATTCCCATCTTAGGCTGGCCGAATCCTGCAGAAATTCAACCAGTGTCTGGCCCCATCTGCACCCCTCACTTCCATCAAAGTCCATTGTCCAACTTTTGTGGAAGGAGCTAGACCTGAAATTATTGGCTGAACAGTGAGTGAAGTCCATCATCTGCAGTCACTGTAGGGGATCCCCTCATCTATGCTGTCACAATATAAAGTGGGGAATTCCCCTCCTCCATGCTGTCACAATACAAAGTGGGGGGGGGTTCCCCTCCTCCATGTTGTCACAATACAAAGGGGGGGGGTTCCCCCGCCTCCATGCTGTCACAATACAAAGTGGGGGGGGGTTCCCCTCCTCCATGTTGTCACAATACAAAGGGGGGGGGTTCCCCCGCCTCCATGCTGTCACAATACAAAGTGGGGGGGTTCCCCCGCCTCCATGCTACAGTCAGCAATGGCTGTTTACATACAAGCGGTCCGGCATCTGTAAAGACGCCCAATTGCTTGTATGAGGTACCTTTCTGTGCGGCCCCCCCTCCCCTCTCCTTACCTGCCATCGTCGCTGTCATTGCTGCGATGCCGGGCGTCCGATCCGGTACCGGCATTGTGTATCCGTGCAGGGAGAACAGAGGGAGTCAGTACACGATCTCGTTCTGATCATCTCCCCGTTCTGTGAGTGCGGAAGTCGTGTTTATTACATCACTTCGGCATTTAGCTGTCACTCCAGACAGCCAGAGAGAAGCTGGTGAAGCAGATGTCGGCTTCATCAGCTTTTCTGGGGGTCCCTAGGTAACATTAGGGGTCTTAAGACCCCCTAATGTCTCCAAAAAGAGGACCTGTCACTGTAATTTGATATCACATAGGGAGGGGTCTTCTTAGCCCGCTATGTGATAATACAATTAAGTTTTTTTTTTTTAAAGTAAAAAACGTTTTAACGTTCCCCACCTCCACATAGACGGGCAGAAATGTGACGGGGGCCATCGCACAAAAACGACAATTGTGCCCATTACACCGCACATGTTACATATCATCGCAAACGTCAGAGTGTGAGCAATAATTTTAGGGCCATTACTCACTTGTAACTAGGTATGCACCGATACATCGGCGCCGAAACATATCGGCCGAAAATGGCACTTTTGGCATAATGCCGAAAGAGCCATGTTTCAGGCCGATACATCGGCGCATACCTGGTTTCTTTTCTCCCCGCTGGGCGCTGCTCTATGTTCCAGCGGGGAGAGAAGAAAGTGACAGCCGGCCGAGCGCTGCAGGACGAGAGCGCTGGGAGCGGCCGGCGTCTCTCCTCCCACACCGCTCAGCCGCCTATCACAGTCCGGCAGAGCGGTGTGGGGGCGGAGACACCGCTGTCACAGGAGGCTGGGCTCTCCTCTCTACACCGCTCCATCAGCCTCCTGTGACAGCGTGTCAGAGAAAAGCAATGTACACACACTCCGTGATCAGTGATCGCTGAGTGTGTGTTCATCATTGAGAATATGGTATGTTTACTATATCCTCAATTATGAATGAATGGG